TCAGCCTGTTCTGCTCCCCACTCTGTCTCTGGTGAATCCTCTCACCACCCCTGCAACTCTGGCCTGTACCCAACTATATGTATAAGTAAATCTTTAATATCTCCAACCATTGTCAAAATTCTCCCTGGAGAGGTGGGTGGAAGGCAAAAATCACCATTGCTTGAGAACCACTGGATTCCAACAGTGATTGAGAAGAGTCAAGGTGATATTTGGAAATAAATCTTTGATCAGCTTTTGTAAATCAATATTTTAGTGTGTATATATATATATGTTTAGCAAATTATAAGTGTGGTATTTTTCTAGCTATTTTTTCCATTTTGTCATATTTGTGTCTCAAGGCAATTGTATGGCTTCTTACCGGGTGAGAATAGAAAATCTTAACAAGCTGAATTTCCTAAAGATGTATTTGATGTTCAGTTTTTGTAAGGAATGTTCAAAGGTGTTAAATTTCTAAACATTTACATCTGAGAAAAATGCATATTCTAATTAATGCAGTTGTCTTATTGGTATCTAATTGAATTGAACATCAGGATTCATGCTCTTTTTCTGTCTTTGAGAGTAGAAGATTAATGTGACGTAAAGTGAGAATATATTTTATTTCTATTCTGTTTGAACTTTTTTTGAAGAATTTTTTCAGTTAGGGGAATTTTACTGTCCTTTACAAATTTACCTGGCACTGTACTTGCAAAATACTCAGTCTTAAAGCCATGAGGATTAACAGTGGTTTCTGTGAAATGAAATTAGCTGCGTAAATAAAGGTACTTCTATCTGAAACCTAAACCTTAAACTAGGTAGAATTTTAAAATGTTCTGTAGTCCCATTGGAATGTTCCATTCAAAAGTAAACAGATCTCACATGACCTGAGTGGCAGTGTCTCACCTGAGCTCAGCCTGAGGGATGGTGCCTCCCAGGAGCAGCCCACATCATTTAGTGGTGAAGTCTCTTGGAGTTCACCTATCATTGAGGAACAAGGCACAGTCTTGGCTGCTGAGATCATACTGCCTTCTTTGAATCCTCTTCCTTTTGTTTTGCGGGAGAATGGAATGAGGAGGTTGCTTGTGTATGAAACTAGGAAGTGTGCTGGAAGCCTACAGAGACTAGATAGTCAAAGTGATCAAAAGCAACTACATTGCATTGTTTATAAAAAGCTACATGAGAAACTTCAGTCTTCAGTGAGTAATTGGACATGAGGATTAAATGTCTCAGAAAGCATTTCCTAGCAGCAAGGTATACAGTGGATTGTAGCAGAGATTGGGCAATAGAATTATTCAAGAGAGGGTAATTAGAAAGCATCTAAGTGTTTAAAGCATTTGGCCAGGAGTGGATTCCATCTCAGTAACTCTCCTTGATCATCCATTAGTGCCACTCCTTTTCTGTTCAAGTTTTATATTTTTAAGCTCCACTTCTAATCCTGGTTTTCTTGCCATTTCCCCCACCTCTGCAGTGACTTCCTCCTCTGAGATCTTGTGTCCCTCATCATAATAAGGGATTGAGTCTACTTCCTCCAAACACCTTTTAACACTGTGACCTCATCCCATGAATCCTGCATTTTCTCTCTTTATGGCACCTAGATTGGTGAATGCTTTCCAATTAACTTTGTCCAGATCTGTCAGAGGAATCACTGGCTCTGGCATGTATTTCTTAAATAATATTTGATCCATAAGCTGCAGAAGGGATGTCGTGACAGCAGCATGAAAGCATTCATCTTGTACATCTCCATCAGAACTCTGGGTGTCCAGTTGCTTGTCAGTGAGAGGTGATATTTTGAAAGGAACCTCTTTCTCTGAGCAGTAGGTCTGAACAGTGGGTTTAAAATATTCAGTAGACCATGCGGGGAACAGAAAAATAAAGTAAACCCAGGATATTTTCACTTCATTTTCTTAACTTAAGGGAATTAATACATCAACACTACAGATATGTTTAATGGCTTTATTTATTTTTTAAAGATTTATTTATTTATTCATACAGACCTGAGGTACAGGCTAGAGGTGCAGGGGTGGTGAAAGTTCTTCACCAGAGACAGAGAGGGGAGCAGAACAGGCAGACTGATGAGGTACACTGCTGAGGGGAGCAGCGGGCAGGTCAGGAGAGGTCTGCCCAGCCATGTGGGTCACCTCCAGAGCGGGGGATAGAACTCGCACTGAGGCAGCCACTGCCAGCTTGCAGTATTGCATCCTAACCCGTTGTGCCACCAGGGAGGCCCCTGTTTAATAGCTTTAAAAATTATTTTACATAGTTCAGTACCTACTGAATTAAGCAATTTCAGTTTACTTCACATAGATGGTGATTTTGTATTTTAAAAATAGTATTTTTAGTTCTCCGTAAAGAATAATTTTTAGATGTTTGCAAATCTCTGAAAAATACATAGTTTTGTTTTGTCCTTTTTTTTTTTTTTACTGAATAGTCATTTCTGAGTTAGTATCTTGTGTCACTGACTCAAGTATATTTCACTTTTGACTTGCATTTGCTTAATTTCAGTTATAGCTAAGTTGCTTCTGTGAAATGTGTGGACCATTCGTTGTTGGAAACTAAAACTTATGTGGGCATTGAGCTTAACATTTATTGAGTAAATAGTTTTTTTGTTGTTGATATCAGTATATGACTTCTTTATGGAACACAGTGTTTTTTTTTTTTTTTAAAGAAGCTGTATTTGTTGAGATATAATTTGTCTAATAAAATACAGCTTTAAGTATATAATTTGAGAATTTTGTTCTTTTAAAATAAGCTCTGGACACTCCCTGGTGGCGCAGTGAGTGGGTTGGAACACTGCATTGCAAAGCTAAGCCAAGACGTGGCTGCTTCTCTGCAAGTTCAATCCCCACCCTGGAGGTGACCCACATGGCGTGGCAGACCTCTTCTGTCTCACCCACTGCTCCCCTCAGCAGTGTACTTTTTGTCCCTCTGTCCTGCTCCCCATTGTTTCTGGTGAGTCCTCTTGCCACCCCTGCAGCTCTGGCCTGTACTCCATTTCTGTAGGCATAAATAAATAAAATCCTTAAAAGTAAATAAGCTCAATAGCTTTATCAAAATTCACTAATTTTGAGTGTTCAATTTGATGAGTTTCAAAGTGACTTTTTTGAAATAATTTACATTCTATAAAGTTTACATCTTGCACATAACTGCTTGAGTTTCAGTATATTTTTATCATGTGTAGACATCACCCAACAAAATTCCGTTTGTCCTTATGTTTCCAGTATCTTCACCCCAACTCTAGGAAACCACCATACTGCCTTCTCTAACAGCTCTTCTTTTGCCTTTTCTAGGAATTTCATATAAATAAAGATCATACAACATGTAGTTTTTTTATGGCATAATTTTTGAGGCTTCCATGTTGTTATATGTATCAGTACATTTATTTTTAATAGTATTTCCAATGCTATTTGGATTGTATCCAATTTTAAGCTATTCTTTTTTGTGAATATTCAATTCAAATCTGTGATTTTTTTTTTTTTCCCAAGTAAAAATTTTTAGTTCTCAGGTGTGGAATTACTGGGTTATATGGTCAGTGTATGATTAGTTTTTTTTTTTTTTTAAACTGTCAGATCAATTCTAAATTCTTACCAGCATTGTTTAAGTGTTTGTTTTTCTACATTCTTTCTAGTGCTTAGTATTGTTAGTCTTTTTAACTTTAGCTCATTTATTGTGTTTGTTATAATATTTAATTTTTTAAAAATATTCTTTTATTGTAAGATTTTTATTTATTTAATATAGAAGGACTGGGGTATAGGCAGAGGTATGAGGGAGTGGAGAATGGGGGTGAGAGGATTCATCAGAGACAGAGTAGGGAGCAGAACAGGCGGACCTACTGAAATCCACTGCTGAGGGAACAGTGGATGAGGCTGTAGAGGTCTGCTGTACCATGTGGGTTACCTCGCTGGCCCGGGACAAAGTCAGGCCCTCTCAGTGGGCTGGTTGGTAACACTGAGACAGTCCCTGGGCCACCAGGGAGGCCTAATATTTTGTTGTGTTTTTAAATAGCCATTACCATGCAGTTCACCCATTTCCATAGTATAAGTCAGTGGCTTTTTAATGTATTCATAGTTTTCCAGTCTTCATCACAATTTAAGTACATTTTCATAATTTCCCCAAAGAAATCTACATTCCTTAGCCATAATTCCCCCATTTCCTCATCTCTAGCACTTGACAGCTAATTATTGATCAACTTTCTGTATCTATAGATTTGCCTCTTCTGGAAATTTCATTAATGAGATCAGTGATTGGCTATTACTCCTGTTACAAAGGTTTGTCCATATTTAGCATATATCACTATTTTTATTGCCTTACATTTCATTATGGATATATAACACTTTATATAGCCATCAGTTGATCGATATTTGGATTTTTGGATTTTGTCTGCTTTTTGATTACTATGAATAATGCTGATGTGAACTTTTTTGTGCAGATTTTTTTGGTAGACTTATCTTTGCATTTCTCTTGGGTATTTACCTGGACATGGAATTACTAAGGCATATGAGTAATTCCATGTTTGGTCTATTGAGGAAATTTCCAGACTGTTTCCAGTGACTGTATCCGTTATATTACCAACAGCAACCTGTGAGGATTCCAGTTTCTCCTCACTTCTTTAATACTTATAATTTGAGTTCTATACCAGGATGTGACCTCCATTAGGGCAGGATCCTCTTCTGTCTTGCTTTTCAACATAACATTAGTATTTCCTTTTTATTAACTCTGGTTTCTGTCTGTCAAATTATTTGGGGATCTTTATGCTACAGGGGCTTTTCCTTTTTAAAAAGCTTTTGAACCAGTTTGAATGTTTATTCTTATCACTGATTTCAGTTAATTTATATTGATTGTAATTGGTTTCCTTTAGAAATTAAGTTGGGGGTGCATTTTTATGACTGCATACTAAGAAATTCTACCCTTTTGCAAAGAAAACTGGATTTCATATTGAATTAACCTTTCTCCACCTCATTCCCCTCACCAATAAAAAGACACTGCAGACCTCTATACTTGATTAATTCTCTCTTTCTTTTTTACAGAGTAAGAAAGTTAGCTTGGATTCTATGAAAAACCAGGGAAGAAAAACTAAGAGGCTAATAGACAAGGTCTTTCCAATTTGCATAATGTAAGTTCTTTTCACTATTCTTGGCCTAAATCTTGTGTTAGCTGACAATGCTGTTTCTAGGGAAACAAATAGTCCGACTTCTTAGAATGTCACAGGAATGCTGATCACTTGAAATGAGTTTCCCAGCTGCTAGTCAAAGGGCATTACTAGTGGGAGAAGGAGAGGAAGGATGAATTGGGAAAAAAAGAGCGTTTTGGACACTAGTGTAGATTGACATGTGTATACAAAACTTGAAGTGGATGTTTTCCATTTCTTGCTGTCTAACAACTAGCATACCGATTATGTAAGAAATTGTCTTCCTGCTAAGCTGTCATTGATCTCCAACTTTCACATGAATCATCCTGTTTTTTGGTGGAGTTTTTGGTGGGCTTGTGTCCCTCAATCTATTTCAGGCCCCTCAGTCTCCATCACCTGTATTTACTGAAACTTAACATAACTTCTTTTTTGCCATTCTTCTGTAGCCATTTCACATATGCAAAGTCCTTTTTCTCTTATTAGTTTGAAGTTAGTTAGCATTGAAACAGTTGAGTCCTGATAATCTAAAAATTCATTTTCTTGTTTTATGTAGTGTATATGAAGAGTTTTGATTTATTTTTTGGTTTTGTGAGAATTACAAACTGGAATTCTAATGAGGAAATGTGAACCTTAGAGGCATCTAAATATATTTATAATGAGAGGATTGAGAAGGTAGGAATAATCTGAGAAGTAAATTGTAATTCCTTTGAACTGGATTTTTCACTATTGTGTATTGACTACATTTTTTCTTTTCACTGTTCATGAGTTTCCTTTTTTAAAATTTTTGTCATCTTAATGCTGAAAGTGTAGGATATAAAATTATGTTTCTTTGACTTTGGAAGAACTTAAGAGTTTCCATAAGTTAATTTATGACATAGTCTTGAAGTATTGTGTAGTGAGATTGTTAACACAATCTTAACACAAATAACATGGAAAGATTTCTTGAAGGAATAGAAACTTTGCACACATTGGACACACTCGTTTCGCCCTCTGTGTCATTTCTCTATGACATTTTGGGTGACAGATTAATAGACTAGGGCTCTGTCTCTATAATTCTAGTACCTAGCCGAGCAAATATCCAAATAGATACAGGTCCAAATCATCTCTCTTTTTCTAAATCAGTGATGGCTTTTACTGCCTTGAGAATTAAGTACTTATGTTTAAAACCTTTTGTAAATTGGACCCAATCAAACTTTCTAGCCATATAATCCACTAATTTTCTAATACAAACTGACTATTGTAGTTAAGCTGGCTCTGTTTGTGCTTTTCCCATACTTTTTATATATGATCTACTCCTTATTCTTTCATACTATTTTAAGGCAGCTTCAATCCTCATTCCTCATCTCTAAAACAGGTATGTGTGGACCTACTTCTAGAGAAGTAGTGAGGAATAAGAATGGGTGAATACCTGTAAAGTGTGTACAGTATTCTTTAGCACCTAAGAAAGTAATTGGTAAATGTAGTTGCTGTTACTACTATTTTTGCTGCTACCAGTATTTTTCTTTTGAAATATAGATGCCATGTTTTAATCTGTAATGTATACGTTTTTTGATATAAACTTTTTTCATTCTCTCTTAGTTCAAAATCCTGTTTTCTATAATTGATTTCAGACAAGTCTCATTGCTGCCTTTCAGTCAATCCTAAGGGCGTTCGACTAAGAGGTAGTTAGAGAAATAACCACTTCTACCAAAATGATACCAACGTGTATGTGATCTTGTCAGCCCCTGCTTAAGATTCTATAATTCTTACTACTTTCAGGATATAGATTAAATTCTTTAGATATTAAATCTTCTCAATCTGCTTTCCTTTCTACTTTTATCATTTGTCATATATAACATGCTCCCGTTATTCCATCCGTCCAGCTTTATTGAATTGCTTTGTAGTCTGAAAGTGCTTACATAATCATACTCTTTCTACCAGTTGGTCACATGATTCTCTCTGCCTAGAATAAATTCTTCTACTGGCTAATTTTCAGTTGTTCTTTGGCATGTAGTTCAAAATGTATCCTTATATTTTTGAGTGTTTCCTATGACTCAGTATTACAAACTACATTTTGGAGTCCATTTCTGTTATCTGTGAATTTATGATTTTCTAATTGTAATTGAACAAATATTTATTGTGTATTCCCTGTATGACATGTGCTAAGGAATGGGGATATTAAAAATAAGACAAAGACTACAGTCATGAAGTAAACTTGGACTCTAATATGGAGAGGCCAGTTAGGGAAGGATGTCATTTATTTTCTTTGCTGTCTCTTCTTGTATTTTGTGAACACTCCAAGTGAGATGACCAAAATGGAATTTTAAGCATAATAATACCAGTATGCAAAAATTTTATTTTTGCAGGTCCAGATAGACAGCATGATAATAGTTCAAACATGAGACCTCTGTCCCAGTAGTCTCTCAAGTTGTGCAACCCCCACAATGTAGTATAGTGAATGTGGACACAAAGTTAGAGTCAAGCTAAGGGTCTTAATTTCAGGTTGTAATGTTTTGCAAACTAGCATAAAAGTAAAAAATACTTTTATTGTTAGAGTTTATATTATTCAGAATTTTATTCCTTATTAAATCTGGTAAACATTTAAAGAAGGTGGAGAATTTTAATTTTCAAGAGCTTTGTACACTCCCATACTTTTAAAATTAAACATAACTGTAGGACCTTCTATAAAAGTTCTGTTTTTAATGAAAATATTAGCTAAATTTATATTGGGATATAATCTACACTTAAAACTTAAGAATTGCTTAACAATTCTAAAGCCCTCAGTTTAATGAAAAAGAAGGCAACCTAATGACAAATAAGATTATGTGTGCATACATATAAAAGTTATAAAAAGAGAAGATAAAATTTGGTTAGAAAACAAAGTCTACCAGAATTCCTGTGAAAATTCTGGTGGCTTATGTAGCTTGCATCTATTTTCCTGATTGATGATATAATGGTTTTCCTAGTAGTCCAGGTGGTTTGTGTATTAAGCTGTGACAAAGTGTTTGTTTGAGTGAAGAGTGACATTAAGAATATTATCTGAAACTCAGCTTTTGCTTAGTTGGCAGCCTTAGCCACTCTGTTTACCTAAGTGATGCTCAACTCGAGGTAGTACATTTATTATTATAAATATTTTTAAAGTCGTAAGCAAAGAAGACTAATTAGATGTAACGTGTGGGTTACTCATATAAACAGTTGGCCTATTTATGTCTGTGAAATGGCTTGATGAAAAGCCAGCATCATCCAGTAAAATATTTTTTTGTCTTAATATATGGTGAAAAAAATTTTAAGTAAGAGAATCAAATTAACATTTAAGATTTAATATAAATTTTTTATTTTTAAACTTTCATATATTACTGCATTTAAAACTCAGAACAATGCTGTAAAAAAAGTTTTCCAAATGAATCTGAGGACCATAGAAAGAAACTGTTTAGTGTTAAGTATAAAACTAGAGGAAGTGGCAGATCCAGAATTAAAATTAAGTTTTTTGGTCTCCAACTCCTATATATTTTTATTTGCTTTACAGTATGACATAAATTTTTTTTAGTGGTAAGTTACTACCATTTTCTCTGGATGAACCTCAAAAAGATTTAATTCTAATTCTTTTTTTAATGTGACCAATTAAAAAGACAAATAACCTATGTAATCTTTCTCACCTATTTTTAATCTGTAGACCTCTTATCTCTAATTAAAGTTTCTTTTCCAAAGTATTTTTAATCTGTAGACCTCTTACCTCTAATTAAAGTTTCTTTTCCTTTGGTTATCTTTTACTCTCATAAACTCCTGGGGAAAGTGAGTTGTCCTCCAGAATATTGCTTTATCTCAGGTGAGACACCAGCATGGCTTGCTGTATGCCCAATTCTAGTTTCTTTGGTGATAACTTTGAAGTTATTACAATCTCATGTGTATTAGGTGAATGTAAAGTTCACTTGTTGTGACTATTCTACAAAGATGATTAAAACATCTTTATGCCTTAAGCAACCCATTCTCTACTATTTAGTACCCAAAACTTTACTTTCCTACTTTGCTAAACTTTCTAAAGATCATTTTTCTCAGTTGTGAAATTAAACAGTATATTTCAAATGCTTCAACAAAAAGAGGCTTTTTGTGTGTGTACTGAAGTACTTTACTTTTCCAACCATTATCTCTAAAATGAAAATACTTTACATAGTAAAATAATGTTATATATTTAAAAGATACTTTTTATATTATGTAATTAGAAGTGGGTTATGTAAAATCTTTTATATTGTAATTCTCATACTTTTTTCCCCCATCTTTCCCTTAGATTTCCTTCATGGATACATTTTCATAGCATTATTATGTGATGTGAGAAGTTTTTTTTTTTTTTTGTTTTTGTTTTTGAAGTAACATGGATTTTATACTACAGAATCAAGAGATTGGCTTTATAGGAAAATTTGAGTTATAAAAAGTGGTCAGGTTCTTTTAGATAACCATGACAACATCCCATATGAATGGGCATGTTACTGAGGAATCAGACAGCGAAGTAAAAAATGTTGATCTTGCATCACCAGTGGAACATCAGAAGCACCGAGAGATGGCTGTTGACTGCCCTGGAGATTTGGGCACCAGGCTGATGCCAGTACGTCGAAGTGCACAGTTGGAGCGTATTCGGCAACAACAGGAAGACATGAGGCGTAGGCGAGAGGAAGAAGGGAAAAAGCAAGAACTTGACCTTAATTCTTCCATGAGACTTAAGAAATTAGCCCAAATTCCTCCAAAGACTGGAATAGATAACCCTATATTTGATACAGAAGAAGGAATTGTCTTAGAAAGTCCTCATTATGCTGTGAAAATATTAGGTGAGTAAACACAAGAGTAACAGAAAGTGGTTTGCTTTTTGTTTTTGTTGCCTTAGCATGAATGTATGTAGGGAGAAAGGAGGGATATGAGAACGCAAGCAAGAATTTGCATTTAGTTCAGGATCAATTCTTTTCTTAGAAAGGTCGTCATTCTTTGCTATTAACCACATAGAGCTGGTCTGTTCAGTTATTATAGCGTATTTTCACACATAATTTTGAATTAAAAATTCTACACTGTGGCCTAACATTTAAGAGGCTTAAAATTTACGTTTTGTTTGAATCTCAAGCTTTTGTACCAAAATTGAAAGGCAAGTTTTAATTTCTGATATCCTTAAAATTTGTGAAATAGTAATGTCAATATTTGTAGCTTGAAATCTATGGTTTTCTTTAACGACTGTCATTAGAAATTGATACACTTCATATGGCATCATACACATGAAGCATGACGCAAAATTCCATATTCTGTTTATTCCCACATTCCATTCTGTAGAGAAAATAAAAAGGTACAGACAAAAATAAGTCTTGTGACAAAATTGTTTTTTAGAGCCTTACAAATATACGAGACATTGATGTTGAATATATGTTGCGAAACTTAGATCAAACAAAAATCGAACCTATTTGATTTTTGAACTTATGCTCTCCCTTGCATGCATATAAGAGTGATCATTGAAATGTTCATAAATGGCAATATGAAAAGTTGACACTAGTTATAACATTATTAATGCCACTCAAAACTTCAGCTTTTGGATATACTCAGTTTTACATTTCCATTTTAAATTGAAGTGTAGTAGCTTTGTACCCAGCATTTTTTTTCCTGTTCATAATTTGCTAACACATCTAACAAACCAGAAATACTCCCTTAAAGTTGGATGTGTCTCCCCGCCTATATTTTGATTAATATACATGTACCAGAAGACAACTTCACACAGCCAGAAACAGAAACCTTGTTTTAAGTAAGGGAAGGATGGGGCAACTGGTGTTATTTCTTTGAGAGGTAGTCCAGTTTCCAAATGATCATCATCATTTATCTGTAAGTAGAAAAAATACTTTTTAAAAACTACAAAATGTGATTGGAAGATGCACACTTTAATCAGCTGGAGGAATTTTTAATGAAGATATTTATAAATTTGATAGGTATAACAATTAAAGTGCAGGGATGGCATTTATAGAAAATATTTGTATAAAATGAACTGGATTTTCTTATTAAAAGCAGTCAGAATCTGTAGGGAATAGGATCAAAAACAGTGGGGGGAGGGAAGTGCACTGGACTATGGTGATGGCACATGGGTGACTTGGTGATGAGAAACACACCATTGGGGATTACAATTGAGATGAAAAAAATGTACAAAATGATATAAAAGTAAACTATCTAAAAAAAAAAAAGCAGTCAGAATCTTACCGAAAATTAGAAAATAGTGATGCAGGAACTTAATTTCGTATAAATTATTGGAACTCTAAATTAGATTTTGATATATTAAGGAAGACAGTTCCTTATAGTTGACATAATTATTAAAACTTGCTTTACTACAAATGAAATGTTATGCATTTCTATTTTATTAGCAAAGCAAATGAAATCCTAAGAATAGAATGCAGATTTGAATATGATGATGTGGAATTAGAATCATTTTCACTAGTTTATAGATTTTACTGTTTGTTTATTCACAGATAAGTAGTTTGTACTAGAATTGTAGACAAGTAAATTTAATAGATGGTAAATGGGATAAAATAGGAAACCATCTATTTATATTATACACCTTGAGGAAACTAGGAAAGCCACATGCACCCACCAATCTATACACCACATAATAAGCTGGCTTGTGATTAATAAAATGTTTCTTGAAATTTGTGATTAGGGATTTTCTAATTTATATCAAATGCTAGTGGTGTTAAGGGGAAAAAGACGACCAGTGGGAAGAAAACTATATTGAAGAAAATATTTTCATGATATCAATAGTATGTTTCAGTCTATATTAGTGTCTACTCACTTTTTTTTTTTTTTTTTTTTTTGGTCAGATGTTTCTGACTCTTCAAACAATTAAATAGAGAGTATTCCTGTATTTGACGACGTACGTGAAATCTCTTCCATTTTTGTTTCTATATTACTTGACTTTATATGGACCATCGGCTGTACTAGAATTTTGCTGGATTGTGACTTTTTTTAAGATAAAATTTATTCTAGTGAACAAAATTCCATGCCAGTATACCTTGAGCTACTTTTTGAAAAGTTAATGAATTTATTGTTAAATGTATGCTCAACTGCTATGGATATTTCTAAACAAAGTTTAGTCCATTCTTTGAGGGAGGTTTTTATAACCACCCTGTAAATAAAATTATTAGATCTGTTGATGCTATGGTACTAGATTTAATGTTTAAAATGTTAGGAGCATTTGAAACTTTTTCTGATTTCTTCATATTGCTGAAATGAGAGTTAACCTAATCTTAAGTTAAACTGCATATAGTCTTGGTTAGATATACATAATCCCACTAAAAATATAATTAACTGCTATATCATTAAGTGTTTGACATAAAGACTTCATTTAACCTATTAAGTAACAATAAGGTTTACTTTTTTCCTTTTTAAAAAAGACTTGTGTCATTCCATCATATACTTAGGAATGAATGTAACTATTGCATATTGGAAAGTTCAGGGATGTTAGATGTTAGATGTTAGATGTTGAGTTAGATGTTAGATGTTAGATGTTGAGTTTGTTATTGATCTTAAGCAAGCAATTTTATGAGCATCAGTTTCAAAATTTTCTTGAGAGTCAAGTGAAAAAAATGTATGTAAGCATGTTCGAATGCAAAAAGGGTTTTGTAGTCTATGGCTCTGTTTATATAAAATTTAAAAAGAGGCAAAGTTATTATGGGTTTGAAATATATTTGGTTTTATTGAGAGTGATGGGTATGTAGTGGGGGACTGTGTAGGAAAAACTAACTTTTGAAAGAACCAAACATCATCTGACTTTTTAGTTCATTAAATTAATTTGTTAGTCTTGACCAATAGTTTAAAATTTCATTTTAAGAAATAACAACTTTATTTAGATGGTATGTAAATTAACATACCATAAAATTAATTTTTTTAGAGTTTGCAAATATTTAGTGTACTTAAAACACTAAATATTTGTGCACCCATCACCACTATATAATTTCAGAATGTTTACTTTACTCCAAAAAGAAACTCTGTACCCATTTGCAATCCCTTACTCTCATCACCCCAACCGAAAAACTGCAGTATACTTTTTGTTTGTTGATTTGCATATTTGGACATTTCATGTTAATAGAATCATATAATCTGTGTCCTTGTATGACTGCCTGCTTTTCACATAGCATAATGTCTTCATGGTTTATCCATGTCGTAGCACATTAACCAGTACTTTGTTCCTTTTTAGTATTGAATAATCTTCTACAGCATGTATATACTATATTTATCTAACAGCCCAGTGATTGATGAAACACTCTTTTTCCCCAGCCTGTTGTCTATTATGAATAGTGCTGTTGTGAACATTCACGTACAAGTTGCTATTTGAACACCTGTTTTCACCTTTGGAAGATGTATATATAGAAAACTGCTGGGTCATAGGATAATTCTGTGTGTAACTTATTAGAAACTGCCATTACCTCCACAATTTCTGCAGTTTGGAAAGGTTCTAGTTTCTCTGAATCCTCATTGTCATTATGTATCTTTTAGTTTTAGCCATCCTAGTAACTAGTGTTTTTTATTTAGAAATAGAGTAAATGAGAAAAATATTAAAGTATATTATATTGCTTCTAATTTTTCATAGATCTTTTATTTAAAATATATATTTATATACTGGGTTGAGAAATTTAAAAATACAACTTTTTTTTTTTTTTTAAAGATTTATCTATTTATGCCTACAGAACTGGGGTATATAGGCCAGAGGTGTGGTGGGTGAGAGGATTCACCAGAGACAGAGCGGGGAACAGAACAGGCAGATTGACAAAGTACACTGCTGAGGGGAGCATGGGGTGGATCAGAAGAGGTCTGCTGCACCATGTGGGTCAGTTCCTTGCCCGAGGATCGAACTCTTGCTGCAGTGGCTTCAGAGAGCTTCATAATGCAGTGCTTTAACCAGGGAGAGCCCAAAAAATAAATCTTTTTAATGACTTACCACCAAAAATTTAAGAAATACAATCTAGTCAAAACCACTTACTTGATAGAAAGACCCTGAGACTTGAGAGGGGTTGTCCAGTGACATGGGCATGCCTCTGAGATAATGCAAGTTCAGTTCCAGAGAACTACAGTAAAATGAGTATGACAATAAGACTAATCATGATGATATTTTTGGTTTCCCAGTGCATATAAATACTATATTTACTCTGAACTAGTAAGCGTACAATAGCATTATTTCTAGCAAAACGGTGTACATAACATAATTAAATGTGACACAGAGACATAAAATAAACTCATGATGTTGGGTTATGGCACCAATAGACTTTCAGTTTTTACACAAATAATTTATAATTGCACATTATCTGCAAAGTGCAAGAAAACGATATGCCTGTATAATCTAAGTAATAAATCATCAGGCCATAACTTACTACCCAGGCGTTCTGACTATATATTTGGGATTTTTTTGTCCCTCTCTTACCAAACTCCTTTATATTTTTTCCAGAGAAAAAGCTGAAGCTTTATACTTGACTGATTAACAGTCACTTCAGTAAGCTTTCCATTGTCTTAGTTTTTATAGTGGTAAGTTTTTGCTCTGCTGTCTCAACTATCTTTGTTTTACTTGTATTCTGTTTCTTTTTAATGTGTTTACCCTATTTTTTTTTTAAGATTTATTTATTTGTACAGAACTGGGGTACAAGCCAGAGATGCAGAGGGTGAGAGGATTCACCAAAGACAGAGTGGGGAGCAGAACAGGCAGATTGACGATGTACACTGCTGAGGGGAGCAGCAGGTGGGTCAGGAGAGGTCTGCCGCGCCATGTGGTCACCTCCGGGGCAGGTGGGGATCGAACTCACGCGGAAGTGGCTCA